TAGGGTTGGGCGCGGTTCGGTTTGGATTGGTTTCGACCCCAGCCCGAAATCAAAACCAAATTAGTCGGTTTTGATGAATTTCGACCCAAACCTACCTACTCTAACTTTTAAACCGATGTTTGGGTCGGTTCAGTTAGTCGATTTGGACTTTTAGTCCAAATCAATTTTTTTTTAAAAAAAATTGTCAAGGTTTTGGGCCTACTTAGATTACAAAACTAAAATAACTAAATAATTTTTATCACAAGAACTACTGACTAATGATTAAAAGAAGGTTATTAGAGACAGATCAACAAAAAACTTAAGAATTTATTTATTTATTTATTTTGCGTTATGTAGCATGACTGTCTGAGTAGGGAAAAAATGTTAAGTATAACATAACGAGCTTGTAAAAGGACATTCTCAGTTCTATTACTTACTAGCATCACACAGATTTGAGGGAATCGAGATATAGTTATGCGATTAGTACTTATCTTTTGATTTTTATTTTTCATAAAAAAATATTAAAAAGGTAAATATATAAGTGGTTTAGGTTGATTCGGTTAACCAGCGGTTTGAGGATTCAAACCATGGCTAAATTGATCCACCATGATTTTATTTAAAAAAAAAAAAAAACCAAATCAAACCAAAGCGTTACCTATGTCAAACCGACCCGGGTTGGTTCGGTTTGATTGGTTTGGTCGATTTTTTTGTCCATACCTAACTTATGTTGACCATTAGATCACAATCTCTCACAAGATGTGTGTGTCTTACAATATGGATTAAACTATTTGTACACACAAAGTGTAAACCTTGATTGTCATTCCATATGTGTCAAAAATCTGTCTGTTAATTGAAAAATGTGTTGTCAAGATCAATATATTAAAATCTGTCAACTGACATGAGTGTAAATCAATGTGTTAACATTTATATACACTAGTCAACATTAAATGTGTGTTGCACGTTATTATGAAATGTTTTATAAGTGCTGTAAAAGTAAATTTTGAATATGCGTGAATGTTGATTAATTTAGAATTAATATCAGAAAATATATATATGTGACAATGAATGTTAAATTATTTATTTAAATTCTCAATTAAGTAAAACTAGATGTTATATATGGACGTGAATAATGAAATGCAATATTGAATGTGAAATTTTAATTAACTTATAATTAGAATTAATAATACTGAAATGCATAAATGAAGATGAACATTAATTAAATGAATGTGAATGTTAATTAATTGAGAATTAATAATAGAGAATTCATATATTAATAAAAGCACACATGTGAAATGAATCTGTCAAATTTACATGTACATTGATTGTAACTAAATGGTTAAATAAATTAATACATATTAAAAAACGAAAAAGTAAAGTATTTATTGAAATAATTGAATTACAGTAGGGGTAGGATCGTTCAAAAAATGATTATCACTTGATGTGATATATAATTCCAATTAAGTAAAATTGGATATTAATTAGCATAATTGACATGAATAATAAAATGCATTTTTGAATGTATAATTCTAATTAATTTATTATTAGAATTAATAATACTGAAATGCATAAATGAAAATGAATAGTAATAAAATGAATGTGAATGTTAATTATTAAGAATTAATAATCGAAAATTCATAAATTAATGAAAGTACTCAAGTGAAATGAATCTGTCAAATGTACATATACATTGGTGGTAAGTAAATTGTTAAATAAATTAATACATATTGAAAAAAGAAAAGTAAGATATTATTGAAACAATTGAATTGTAGTAGGGATATAATCGTTTAAAAAATTATTCTCACTTGATATGATATTTAATATATTATAAATGTAGTATGGTCGTTACAATATAGTTAGCTTAACCACTCATTGTATTTAACATATCCCTCACATACGAGAAGCTTCATTTTTTTCTCCATTAAAATTTGACACATGCACAATTTTATTAATTAGGTGACAGTGAAACATGAAGTTCGATTTTTTTGTTACTTGGATACAATATGATCGTTTCTTATTTCGTGTCGAAGCAATTACTAAATCATAGGTTGAAATAGGTGAAATTAAATGGCATTACTTGAACTACAGCGGATAAAAATGCAAAGAAATGATCAAAAGAGAGATAAAAGAACTACTCGTTTTGAAACCAAAAATAAATATGCTTA